TTCAGTTCAGAGAATTGCAAATCAGCAAGTAAGATTTTTTGGCCAATCATGAATATAAACAAAACAACGGTGTTATCCTTAAAGGACAACTCCGGCGCAAAATGAACCTTTGGTCTAATTACACATTGCTACCTAGTCAACCGTTATCTGAGATTTGTTTTCATGATTGCCGAATGTAAATAGTTTTATCTCTAAAAACAGTTTAGCCTATAACGCTAGTATATGGGGCATAGAGTAATGACAAATAAAAATCGCTTGTTATTACCACTAACAAGGCTCAAAATAGCCCCACACTAACACGACAGCATAACAAGGGTCCCTACATTCAAACCGAAGCATTGAGAACGCTGTTAGTGTCCATAAAGTTTAATAAGAAGATATTTTATACACACAGTCAACTTCGCAAATACAGGAAGAAGCCATCTTTGAAAAAAAGTCTCTACCAGTCGATCTACGAACGCCGATCCATGTGCGCTGAACTGTGCAGAATCTCATATGGTCCGTTGTTTCCAGAAGAAACACAAACACAAACCATTTTCTTCTCTTCAATATGTACACGTAGGCTACTGTTCGCGCTCACTTTATCACCTTATTCACATCTCACCAACACACTTGGAGCGTTCGTAGATCGACTGGTAGAGACTATTTTTCAAAGATGGCTTCTTCCTGTATTCGCAAAGTTTACTGTGTGTATAAAATATCTTCTTATTAAACTGTATGGACACTGACAAAGTTCTCAATGCTTCGGTTTGAATGTAGGGACCCTCTTTATGCTGTCGTGTTAGTATGGGGCTATTTTGAGCCTTGTTAGTGGTATTAACAAGCGATTTTTATTTGTCATTACTCTATGCCCCATATACTAGCATTATACTAGCGTTATAGGCTAAACTGTTTTTAGAGATAAAACTATTTACATTCGGCAATCATGAAACGTGTGTTGAACGAATAGTTGAAATAAAGTCGTTATTTTTGTTGTTTTTTTGCGCACAAAAGTGTTCTCGTCGCTTGATAAACTTAAGATTGAGCCACTGTAGTCACTTGGTCTATTTTAACGATGTCTTTAATGACTTTGAGGCCATCAATTGTCATTCCCTCAAGAAGCCTATGGACTAGTATGCAGGAGTTATCTTAATATCTTAAATATCTTAATTTGTGTTCCGAAGATGAACAAAGGTCTTACGGGGTTGGAACAACATGAGGGTGAGCAAATACTGACAGAATTTTCATTTTTGGGTGAACTAACCCTTTAAAATACAGGCTGATAACAATAAGATAAAACTACTGCTGAGTGAACAGAAAAGGCCCCAGGATTAATAAATCCTGGCTTTTAACCTGGTCTGGAGCAGGCTAGCTGCACGGAATAAATCTCAATGGTAACTAAGGTGCCTCTTTTGTGCAAACAAGTCAAGACTAAATTCATCCAGCTTAATCCCTTATCCTAGTCTAGTTTTGTGCAATAACCCCCAGGTGTTCTTTACGAAAGCGGGGGTAAACCGTGTTTGACAACTATATTGCACATCTTTCAAAACAAACAGAAATCGACAATTAAAAAACACTTTGCCACGACTAAATATACGCAGAGAATTCATTAGTTGTCAGTAATAGTTGCAGAATTTGCATCAATCATTGCTACACTGTCATGATTGGATATAATAATTCCCACCATCGTGGCCTAAAAACACACAGAGCCTAATTTTGAAAAAAAACTTACTTAGGATTCCGTTAACTTTTTTACGGTCAAGGACCTGCTTTCCTTCCTTTCCTGAGGGGTTGTTGCCAGGGCGACCAAAGGGTACTGCATTTTGACACTCCTCAACAGTGAAGAAATTATCAAAAAGTGCATGAAACAGACGCATGCAATTTGGTTTTGATGCGTGATTCATGGCAGCCAGGCGGAATGATGAGATGAATATGCCGCTCCCAGGAAACAGCTCCTGCTGGCCTGATGGTGAAGCTGGGCTGCCACAATTTCTCTCTCTAATTAAGTCGCAGAGAGTCTGAAGCTCTCTGACCTGGCCTGGATCTGAAAGGGAAAAATAGTACAAACAATAAAGGAGTGAGAAAATACAAAGCTACTCTTTAAAGGATTAGTTCACTTTTGAAAAAACTTTCGCTGATAATTTACTCACCCCCATGTCATCCAAGATGTCCATGTCTTTCTTTCTTCATTCAAAAAGAAATTAAGGTTTTTGATGAAAACATTCCAGGATTTTTCTCCACTCGCGAGGGTTTTCACGACGTCACATTCTGGGCGGTAACCCGGATGAGCGGCCATTATGGTAACACAGTCTCATCCCAAAAAGTCATATAACTGACGTTTTGGGACGTATTTTGACCATACGTCAATATCCGCCTTTTTAGGGCCCCCTTAAACGTCGGTAGATGGCGATCCCGGGCCGTCATACAACTGACGCTTTACCTTTAACGTCAGTTAGGTGACGGGTTAGGTTTAGGGTTAGGTTTAGGTATGGGGTAGAGTTAGGATCCCATAACCTCATCTACCGACGTTTAAGGGGGCCCTAAAAAGGCGAATATTGACGTATGGTCAAAAGACGTCCCAAAACGTCAGTTATATGACGTCTTGGGATGAGACCGGGTTGATTATGGAGGCACTCGGATGTAAACAACAGCATGGACTGCACTGTATGCACTACTGAACACATTGTTACACAAAAAAAACCGTGTGAAAAAACCGTATGTGCAAAATCATACAGAGAAGGACTCATCAAGCAGGAGAGAGCCCAATATTTTGACAAACTAAAGTTAATATGTGGTAAAAGTCCGAACGAGCTAGCTTCTCTTGCCCTTACTGCAATTCTTCCTTCTAACGTTATTTCTTATTCCTACCAAGGCTACGTTCAGATTGTCAAACCAAAAAGCACATGAAATCCGTTTCAAGCTACGTCCATATGTGGTTTGAAATCCTATTCAAATACCAGGGCATATGCCTCAGTCTGAACGAACTGATGCTGTGCCTCTCTCAACCATAAACGCCTTCTTTCATCAGTTTTTTGCACTCTTCTCGTTAACTTTTGGCAGTCAGTAGAACTCGAAATGTTTTTTTTTCCCGATGCGACCGATTAGTACAGACCAAAACTCGACTATTATATTATCATTTACACTGATCATTAACGTTTTTTGTCTTTCATGGATAAATAAACTCATGAATTATGACAGCTTGCGTGTGGTGACTCCCTTACTTTGTTGCGACTCAGAAGAGATCGTAACAAATGGGGGCTCGTCCGAAAGCGAATTTGTATCATTAAATGAAAGTTGATTAATATTTGGAATTCGTTGATGTCGATTCGATTGAAGTAAAATATGTAAATATTGAGCTTTCGATATGCACGTTGTTTTGAGTAACGTAAATTGTTATTTCGTTTAAATCGACTCACGAGTTTGACAGTAGTTCGCAAGGGAAGTGTATTTTTCTCTTTTGCAGGGATGCATTGTTCATTTTCTCCCTGGTAGGAATTAGCAACGCTTAGCGTTGATTTGTTATTTTGCCTTTTTTATTTTTGTGCAGGCTTTTGGGTAAAGTATACCGCCGTGGTTTTGGATTGAGCTGTTTGTTCAATTTTTAAGCCATCGGTATTTTGGTGTTTAAAAGTCGCTTGACTCTTGAAAGCTGCATGAAGACTAGGCCTAAGTTAGTTTAGTGGTTGGGTAGGTAGTTTAGAGGGGGAGAGTGAATAATTGTTTCACTTGTGTTTTTTTTTTTGTTCCGAAAGGAAAATAAATGCACTTGCTTTTTGTTTAATAGTAGATCTAGGCTATTGTAGTGAGAACATAATGTCGTCTATAGAAGAGTTTATTAAGGATCCTAATTCGGAGGAGATGTTAAATTCTTTTGTAAAACAACAATTATGGGAACTTGTAGATCATTGTAAAATCAGTGAGGTAGATAAGAAAATACGGAAAAAGGAATTACGTGCGGTTGTGAAGAATTGGTTATGTGAAAATGGTCTTATGAAAAAACGCGACATTGAGGCAAAGGGTTCGTTAGATATTTTTTCCGGATTATCTTTTGAGGAAAGAAAAGAGATTTTGCACATGCAGCAGCTTCATGATCAAGAGTTGCTGAAAGAAGCAAAACGTTATGAATTTGAGATTGAAAAAATAAGAAATGAGAATGTGCTCCGACAACGTGAGATTGATTTGGAAAAAATAAAATTAGACGCTGAGAAGTCCGCACGAGATCATGAGCTGCAGGTGGAGCGATTGAGATTAGGAAGGTCCGATGTAGGGGAGAGAGGTTTGGGTTTACCTGGAGGGTTTGACTTGGCCAGTAATCTGGTTGCTTCCCAAATTTAATGAATATGACCCTGATGTTTTTTTTTCCTTGTTCGAAACAATGTCCGAAGAGAGGAATTGGCCGAGGTCTATCCGAAATGTCATGCTTCAAACGGTGATCACAGGCAAGGCTCAGGAGGCATATGCATCGCTCACAATGGAGGACCGTAAGGATTATGACAAGGTAAAAGTAGCTATTTTGAAGGCCTACGAATTGGTTCCTGAAGCCTATCGCCAGCGATTCCGAAGCTGGAGAAAGGGTGATCGTCAAACTCACTCTGAGGTGGTAAGGGATTTGGTTTCTCATTTTGATCGCTGGTTTGCTGCCCCTGCTGTTGATAATTTTGAAAAGCTGCGTGATCTGAACAATTTAAAAATATTGTGTCCGATGATATTGCTACATACATAAATGAGAAGAAGCCTAAAGACGCGATAGAGGCGACGGTTTTGGCAGATGACTATGTATTAACGCATAGGAAGGTATACAGAGAAGACCGATCAGTTCAACAGAGTGGTAACTTCAATGAGAGTAGAGTTGGGTTTAAGAAATTTGAACAATCGTACCCTTCAAAATCAGAGAACACTGGTCGGATGAGATCTGATAGAGACTTAGTGTGTCATTACTGTTTCAATCCAGGACATTGGAAAAATAAGTGCCCAGTATTAGCTGCTAAGGGGAAGTCTGGGAAAAAGAAATCATTAGTTAATCCTGTGTTAGTGGCTGATGTTACTGAAACTACCAATGACTCTGAGCACGGTACTTTCATAGAGGTGGCTGAGGAAGTATGTGACTCCAAATTAGTAGCCATGAAACACTTTGTACCATTTATTACGGAAGGTTGTGTGTCTTTGCCAAACTCTGAGAGTAAAATACCAGTGAAAATTTTGAGAGATACAGGCTCATCAGAATCTTTTATTCTTGAATCTGTTCTACCCTTTTCTGAGGTATCAAGTGAAAAGAGAACTGTTCTGATTAGAGGAATTGGATTAAACATTCTTTCTGTTCCTCTGCATAGAGTACACTTGACATCCGATCTCATTTGTGGAGAAGTATCTTTAGGAGTTCGTTCGTCTTTGCCAGTGGATGGGGTTGCTGTCATCTTGGGTAACAATTTGGCTGGAGGTAGAGTCTGGCGGGAGGTTATTCCACCTCCTGAGGTAGTGCCTATTCCAGTCACTGAGAACACCGACAGTTTGCATCAAAATTTTCCTGAAGTATTCACAGCTTGTGTCATGACTCGCGCAAGGAGTCGTGAGATGTCACTTGAGAAACAAGGAGTGTCAAAATATGTTGTTCCTGGGTTATCCACCCTTTCGCCTATTTCTCATAGGGAGTTGGTGGATGCGCAGCGGGAGGACCCGGAGTTACAGAAGTTGTTTGATGCTGTGATTTTGCCTGAAGAGGTAAGAAGTGTTAGTGGGTATTTTGTCCAAGATGAGGTTCTTCTAAGGAAGTATTTTCCCTGTAAGAATGTTTTACTAGAGGTATAATTCAAGTGGTGGTGCCTAAACGATTTCGAGATGTGGTATTACAGAATGCACATGGTGAAATTGCTGGACATTTAGGAGTAAAGAAGACCTATGACCGAATTCTGCGACAATTTTATTGGCCTCGTGTGAAAAAGGATATTGCGTCTTTCATTAGAACATGCCACACTTGCCAGGTAACTGGGAAGCCAAACCAGTTGTTGAAACCAGTACCTTTGAAGTTATCCCCCAGAATCCCATAGAAGTTACAAGTAAACCGTTTGAGCACTTAATAATTGATTGTGTCGGACCACTGCCTCCATCTAAATCAGGGAATTCATATCTGCTGACAGTGATGTGTCAGGCGACTCGGTATCCAGCAGCTTATGCTATCCGAAAAATTACCACCAAGGCAGTTGTTAAGGCTTTGACCCAATTCATATCGATTTTTGGGATACCTAAGATTATTCAAAGTGACAACGGTACTAATTTTACATCTCGTCTGTTTGCTGAGGTTCTGAAGGTACTTAAAGTGAAACATAATCAGTCAAGCGTGTATCATCCTCAAAGTCAGGGTGCGATTGAACGGTTCCACCAGACTTTGAAGTCACTTTTGCGTGCTTATTGTGTGGAGCTAAGCCGTGACTGGGAGGAGGGTTTACCCTGGCTATTACTTGCTGCTAGGGAAGTACAGCAAAAGAGTTTGGGATTTAGCCCGAATGATTTAGTTTTCGGTCATCATGTACGTGCCTCTTTCTGTTTTGTGTGAGGGATTAGGTGGGGAGGAGACTCCGCAAAAGTTGGTAGAGTATGTAAATGGTTTTCATAGACGTTTGTTTTTGGCCAGACTGAGTGCACAGAAAAATCTTGTTTTGGCACAAGAGAAGATGAAGAGTCACTTTGATAAGCGTGCTGAAGGTCGTGTCTTTACGCCTGGCGTTTAGGTGTTAATTTTGTTACCATCTTCTGGGTCTCCTTTTTGTGCTAAGTTTACTGGACCATATACTGTTATTCGGAAACTATCTGATAAACTATCAAATTGCAACTCCAGATAGGTGAAAATCTAAGCAGTGTTTCCATGTAAATTTGCTTAAAGCTTATCGTTCTCGAAATTCTGAAGTCCAATCAACTCAATCAGTTGCTCCAGTTGTTACTGCTTCTTTTGACTCTTGTCAACCTTTTGTTGAGTGAGAAGTTATGGTTGAGGATACAGTTGTTCCTGAAGATTGTGTTTTGTTACCTCGACTAAAGAATTCAGAGACACTTCAGAATTTAGGTGCTCTGTTTTCACATTTGACAGAGGCTCAAAATAAAGATCTAACACAGTTGTTGGGGGAGTTTACTGGTTTGTTTTCAGATATACCCAGTCGTACTCATCTGATACAACATGATGTTGATGTGGGAGAGGTGCAACCGATTCGTCAGCGTTTTTATAGGGCTCCCATCAGTAAGAGAGAAGCATTGGAATCTGAGGTTCGATATATGCTTGAGAACGGAATAGCTGTTCCGTCGTGCTCATGTTGGGCTTCACCTTGCTTGTTAGTACGGAAAGCAGATTCAACTTATAGATTTTGTACTGACTATCGCAAGTTGAATGCCATTACTAAGCCAGATGTTTTTCCACTTCCTCGAATGGAGGATTGTGTAGATCAGGTGGGTACAGCTAATTTTGTGAGCAAGTTAGATCTTCTTAAGGGGTATTGGCAAGTGCCGTTAACTCCTAGAGCTAAGGAGGTAACTTCTTTTATTACATCATCTGGATTATACTCGTACTCTGTTATGAGTTTCGGCTTACGAAATGCACCTGCCACCTTCCAGAGATTGATGAACCGAGTGGTTGCTGGGTTGGAAGGGTGTGCGGTGTATTTAGATGATGTTATTGTTTTCAGTGAGACTTGGGAGGAACATTTGGTCCGTTTGCGAGCTCTGTTAACTCGGTTGATTGAGGCATGTCTATAGTTAACTTGGCTAAGTGTGAGTTTGCCAAGGCGACTGTAAGATATTTGGGGAAAGAGGTAGGCCAAGGTAAGGTGCGTCCACTTCAGGCCAAAGTTCTTGCCATTCAGCAGTTTCCTTCTCCGTCTACCAAGAAAGAACTCATGCGTTATTTGGGGATGGTCGGTTATTACAGGGGTTTCTGTCCAAACTTTTCAACCGTGGTTTCTCCGCTGACTGACTTGCTTAAAAACTCAGTAAAGTTTGACTGGAGTGAAAATTGCCAGAGAGCTTTTGAAAACATTAAATTGTTATTGACTTCTGCTCCTGTTCTAGCTGCCCCAAGGCTGGATATGCCATTTAAGTTACAGGTGGATGCCAGCCAGGTTGGTGCTGGAGCTGTCTTATTACAGACCGGGGAGGATGGGTTGGACTATCCCGTGAGTTTCTTTTCTCGAAAGTTTAACACCTATCAGAAAAATTACTCTGTAATCGAGCAAGAGGCTTTATCTTTAATTTGGGCACTTCAGTTTTTTGATGTGTATGTGGGGGGAGGAATGCCGGTGGAGGTGTTTTCTGATCATAATCCGTTCCATTCTTGCATTCTTTACAGTCGCAGAGTCAGCGCTTAATGCGTTGGATACTTTTTTTACAACCCTACAATTTGGTTGTTAGACATATTAAAGGATCAGATAACGTAGTGGCAGATGCGTTATCTCGTGTTCCTGATCTGATCAATTAAGTGCAATGGTGATATGGTTGTTTCTGTTTTTCTGTGCTCTCTTGTCGTCTTAATTTGCTTTCAGGATCCAGATTGCTGATGGCAAAGTGGGGCTGAAGGGTGAATGGAAATAATTGTGGTAATCATGGTTGTACTGTGATCAGTATAACAATGTGCCTAGAAATATGATTAATACATTTATGGTGTTGGGTTTGTTGTTGTTTTTTTGTTTTGTTTTTTTTTTTTATCCGATTTGTGACGGATCTCTTTTAAAGGGGTGTGTGTGACGGTTTCAGTGAGTAACTCGTCATTTCTGAGTTACAGGTGATTTGGCTGAAGGGCGTGGTTATACACCTGAAGGTCATCATGCTGCTCAATAAAAGACTGGGACTGAGATGAGAGCAAGAGAAGAGTCGATTGAACTTGTGCTCATTTGTTCGCTTGGGGGTACTTTGGGGTTCCTGTCACGAGGATGAGGAGGACTCGTTGAGAGGTTTTGGAGTATGGGAGATCACCACCGTCGCTTGCGCCACTTCATGTGGGATATCTGTTGTCGCTGAACGTTTCATGGACTGAGATGGGCTGGACTGCTGTTGTTCATAAGTACACCTACGCATCTGCTGACACCCTGATTATCATTTACACTGATCATTAACGTTTTTTGTCTTTCATGGATAAACTCATGAATTATGACAGCTTGCGTGTGGTGACTCCCTTACTTTGTTGCGACTCAGAAGAGATCGTAACAGTACTAAAATAATATGATGTTAATAATTATTTTGTTGTTTGACTTAAGATTTTGAAATTGTGGTACATAACAGTGCAGTAGCCGAGTATTAATAAAACAGCTCTATATTATTTCTGATGCCAGTTATTGCCATTATTGTGAAAATGACCGTAGTCTCCCTGTTTCTCCCTGCTGTTCAGTAAACAGAAAATGCATTTTCGGGATATTCATTTCATCCAATTAGGAGAGAGAATTCATGCAGGATGAAGAATAAATAAGTGAAAGTAGAAGTGATAAAATAAGATATAATATCTATCATAGGGGGAAATCAAAATGGTACAAAGAAATTAACAGAGAAATTTGGAAGTGGAAAATTGACACTTTCTAAGAAATGTATTTCTGTTTACTAAAGAGCTGATTAGATATAAACCTCTGTTACTGAATAAACGCTTCATCAGAATATTGAGTTTTACTTTTACAAAAAGTTCCACTGTATATTCCATCAACTGGAGTCTGTATTTATATAGTATTGGAGTGTCAAAATGACCAGACGAAAACCTGGAAAACGATGGCGAAGGACTGGTAATGAAGAAGACCCAAATAAACGACCAAGACGGGCTGCACAATTGGTGAGTAGCCTGGCATAGTTGTGTTGCAGTAAATTTGCAGCAGATAGGATATTTAATGCCTTATTTTCCTCCCTGCAGTCATCCCTCCCTGCAGCCACTAGTGTTCATGTGGAGACTGATCAGCAATATTTAGGTAACTTATGAAATGTGTTGTTGTGTGTTTCATGTTCAAAAGCCACACCCAGTCCCATGTGCAGAGGAGAGAGAGATCCTGAACAAAATAAGTTCTGATTAAGAATCACAGGTTCTGTAAATAGATAGAATGCAGTCTACAGTTGGTCAAACCAAGCATGGCTAAATAGCTTTCTCTTATTCTTCTCTTTTTCTTTTCTTTTTTATCTTTTGAGTTTCTTACAAGAAGGTTTCTCACCAGAATTCTGTTTCAGGTGAGAAATCTGAAAAATGTAATTTAAGCAAAATGAGACTAATATTGATCTAGAAAAAAGGTGTGAACCACTGATGTGTCATCTTGCTGTGTCAGGAGGTAGCAGCAGCGGAACACAGCATGGAGGTGTGCCTCCTGGAGGAACCCAAAACGCTGCACTTCAAGGGGAACACGCCCAACATCCAGGTGTCCATGCAGGATGTACCGCACTCACTCTCGGACATCAAGTCTCTCACCACCTGCCAGGTACACACACCCTGTCTGTCTGTAATGATGTACAGTATATTTTTTCACTGAGTAGAGGTCTCTTTTATAAAGCGTGCGTATGCACAAAAAAGGCCTTGAAACAGGCATTGCGTCCCTGCTCGCAAACTCTGACTCATGCGTACAAATGTCATGGAGAAAAAGCGTTTGACACTGTGGACCATGGTGTCCTATTAAAAAAACTGTCAATGTTTAATGTCTCTCCTAATGTAATAAAATGGATGCAGTCTTATCTGGAACACAGAGAACAAAGGGTTAGGATAAACGATGAGGTATCATCGGCCATTAATTGTAACATTGGTGTACCTCAGGGATCAATTTTGGGGCCGTTGTTGTTTAGCCTGTACATAAATGATCTCCCGACTGTATGCACTGAGTCTGAGATTCAAATGTATGCAGATGACACTGTCATTTATGTACATGCGCTGGACAAACAGCAAGCAGCCTATAAGCTCATGGCAGTGCTGGAAAGTGTTATGCAATGGCTTAGTGATTCCTGTCTTTATTTAAATATAAAGAAAACTGCATGTATGTACTTCACAAAGAAGTCAACAGACAATTCAGTAGCAAATATTTATATTGCAGGGGAACAACTGTCAATGGTATCTGATTTCAAATATTTAGGTATAATAATTGATTCGAATTTAACATTTAAAAAACAAATTAAAAAAGTTATAAATATAGTAAAATTTCACATGTCAAATTTCCATCATATAAGAAATTGTCTGACTACAAAGGCAGCGACAATATATTTTAATGCTATGATTATGCCATATTTTTTGTATTGTTTGACTATCTGGGCACAAGCCTCCAGCACAACCCTTAAACATGTGCAGTTACTGTACCATCAAGCTTCTAAGGTACTCGATAGGAAGCCTAATACCCATCATCACTGCCACTGTCTAAAAAAAACACAATCTAATGACTTGGGATAATCTTATTAAATTCACAGACTCTTGTCTTGTTTTTAAAATTTTACATGGCTTAGCTCCCCCACCATTAACTGCTTTTATAAAACAAATAACTACTGTTATTAGACATACAAGGTCTGTAACAAGAGGGGATTGTGTAATACAAATGAGAAGAACTGCCTTTGGTCAGTCAGCTTTTTCTGTGAGAGCAGCTCACACTTGGAACAGTTTACCTACATCTATTAAGGACACTGCTTCATATGGGCTGTTTAAGATTAAATTAAAATCATGGTTAAAGGACAATCTGTCACGGGAACACACAGGGAAACAGGTGGATCCAAATGCAGCATATTTATTATCAGGGCAATCCAACTCATAGTCATCCATGCAGGGGTCAAAATCCATTTTAGCAGTCCAATAAACAAATAAACAAGAAACAAACCACGAACAGGCAAGAAAACAGACCTCAGAAGTGTTAGTGACATTCAGCAACGAATCCGTACACAAACTAACACAGACAGGGAATATATACACAGAACTAACAAGACTAACACAGAACAGCTGGGAACAATGATTACAGGGAACAGCTGAGTGCAATGAACTGATGAGTGACAGTGTTAGACAGAATGCTGGGAAATGCAGTTCCAGAAATACATGACACCGAGGGGAAGGAGGACATCTAGTGGACAAACAAGGAAACACAACCAGACACTGTGACATAACCCCCCCTCTACAGAGTGGCTACCAGACACTCCACGACAACAACTACAACACAATCACAAGAGTTCAGGAGGGAGGTGGAACGGTGGAGGATCAGGGGGAGGGATGGTGGGCCAGGTCCATGAAGGGAGACAGGAACAAGGGGTGAGGGCTTTACCGAGGACCAGGGCGAGACACAGAGTCCATCGGGTGGCCAGGGCGAGACACGTAGTCCATCGGGTGGCCAGGGCAGAGCAGACCTTTCGGGTGGCCAGGGCGGAGAAGACCCCTCGGGTGGCCAGGGCGGTGAAGACCCCTCGGGTGGCCAGGGCGGTGAAGACCCCTCGGGTGTCCAGGACGGTGAAGACCCCTCGGGTGGCCAGGGCGGAGCAGACCCCTCGGGTGGCCAGGGCGGAGCAGACCCCTCGGGTGGCCAGGGCGGTGAAGACCCCTCGGGTGGCCAGGGCGGAGCAGACCCCTCGGGTGGCCAGGACGGAGAAGACCCCTCGGGTGGCCAGGGCGGTGAAGACCCCAACTCAGGCACAGACACCGGCTCAGGAACAGACACAAGGACAGACACAAACACAGACATAGACAATGGGTCCGGAACCGACATGAGCTCCAGCTCTGGAACAGGCACTGGCTCTGCCTCCGGCTCAGGAACAGGCACTGGCTCTGTCTCCGGCTGAGGAACAGACATTGATTCTGCCTCCGGCTCGGGAACCGGCGCTGGCTCTGCCTCCGGCTCGGGAACAGGCGCTGGCTCTGCCTCCGGCTCGGGAACAGGCGCTGGCTCTGCCTCCGGCTCGGGAACAGGCGCTGGCTCTGCCTCCGGCTCGGGAACAGGCGCTGGCTCTGCCTCCGGCTCGGGAACAGGCGCTGGCTCTGCCTCCGGCTCGGGAACAGGCGCTGGCTCTGCCTCCGGCTCGGGAACAGGCGCTGGCTCTGCCTCCGGCTCGGGAACAGGCGCTGGCTCTGCCTCCGGCTCGGGAACAGGCGCTGGCTCTGCCTCCGGCTCGGGAACAGGCACCGGCTCAGGAACTGACATTAAAACAGACACAGTCACAAGAACAGACACAAACACAGAAAAAAAACGCTGGGTCCTGAACCAACATGAGCTCCAGCTCAGGGGCAGGGACAGGCACCGGCTCAGGGACAGGCACCGGCTCAGGGACAGGCACCGGCTCAGGGACAGGTCTCTCCAACGTCTTAATCAGACGCTCCAGATAGTCCCAGCTCAGGGATACAGACGGGACCTGACCAGTCTTTCGTCGGGCAGACGGGACGCGAACAGTCTCTCGCTGGGCCGACGGGACGTGGACAGTCTCTCGCTGGGCAGACGGGACGTGAACAGTCTCTCGCTGGGCAGACGGGACGTAAACATTCTCTCGCTGGGCAGACGGGACATGAGCGGTCTCTCGCTGGGCAGACGGGACGTGAACAGTCTCTCGCTGGGCAGACGGGTATTTCCTCCTCCTTCTCCGTCGTTCTTTATGGTGAGGTATTGGCTCCAGGCTGGACAGGACCAGCGGTGAAGGAAGCTCTGGGCTGAGCATCACTGGCCCATGGTCGGAGAAAGACCAAAGTTGAGAGTGATTCCGGGGCTCACTTCTAGGACCTCCTCTCCTGCGGCCTCCACGAGTCCCAGAAAACTTGGCCAGACGGGTTCCCCTAAAAGATTCTCGGTCATCGGTGGCCGGGTTCTCAGGGGAATTGACCACCTTGACCTCAGTCCGGCAGGCCAATAAGGCAAAGCCCTGAAAAATGTTCATGCTACTGGATCTATTATTTGACGGATTCGTTCTGTCACGGGAACACACAGGGAAACAGGTGGATCCAAATGCAGCATATTTATTATCAGGGCAATCCAACTCATAGTCATCCATGCAGGGGTCAAAATCCATTTTAGCAGTCCAATAAACAAATAAACAAGAAACAAACCACGAACAGGCAAGAAAACAGACCTCAGAAGTGTTAGTGACATTCAGCAACGAATCCATACACAAACTAACACAGACAGGGAATATATACACAGAACTAACAAGACTAACACAGAACAGCTGGGAACAATGATTACAGGGAACAGCTGAGTGCAATGAACTGATGAGTGACAGTGTTAGACAGAATGCTGGGAAATGCAGTTCCAGAAATACATGACACCGAGGGGAAGGAGGACATCTAGTGGACAAACAAGGAAACACAACCAGACACTGTGACACAATCAAGTGTGTACCCATATTCTGTAGTTTTAAATCATCTTAATCATGTTTTGATTTGTTGTTCTTGTTGAATGTATTTTATGAGCTTCTATGTATGTATAAGTATTGTTGATAGTTTGAATGTATTTTATCGGTTATTACATCTGCCCAGTGACTACAGTTGAAAATTATCCAAGATGGCTAAACTGGCACATTTACGCAAGCGTTTATTAATGTGCATGGTCCCTGTAACTTTAAACTGATTAAATAAATAAAATAGACGGCACAGTTTGGCGACACCGATGGTGAGCTGGAGTTAAATGTCTTTTTGGTCACTTTTAGGCAGAAAATCAAAGAAAATTATACAGCTACAGAAAGATAATAATTTCACTCACCAAGCATATCACTTGAAGCAAATATCCATCCATTCTTAAATGTCCGCGTCAGCGAGCGTGTTGGGCTGTTTAGTGAAACTGACGCATAATATAGCCTGATGTAAAACCGTAAATCTTCATTATGAGTAGTAATCATAAATAGGCTACAGTGCATGTTCACAATAACAGTTTAAATAAATTGATTAAACATTTAGATTGAATATGCCATTCTCATTGGAGTTAAACATTTAAAATAGGCCTACATGAAATCATTACATCGCCAGACAAGTTCATTTGATCTTGGTCTGAAGAGAGAGAAATAATCTGCGAACATAGATTGAAATGCACATAATCTTAGAATAATTTCTTAATGCGTATGTGAACGCCATCAGAGTTTATCACAGGTTTGCATTAAAGTCTGTGTAGAGAGAACGGTGTCGTCTTAGCGGCCCCTAATTTAATAACTAATGAACGTTGCGACGGAAGTGAATTAATCACAACTAACTTTAGCTAGAAAAAGCTAGACATCCATTTGTCTCAGTAAAGCTGCTTTGAAACAGCCTACACTGTTAAAAGCGCTATATAAATGAAGATGACTTGACAAAAAATTAAATATTCAATAAATAGAAATATTTGTTGTGGATGCAATGCTTTTGAACACTTTTCTTCTGGCATGCTGAGCTTTAATGTTAACTATAATTGCTTATCATGATAGCTGAATATTAAATGAATAGATGAACAATTGTCTGAGAAAATAGCTTTGTGCAAATAATGCACAACATGGTCAAAATCTATTTCAATTAAAAATACAATTTAGCCCGTGGAAAAGATTAAGAAAAATAAATGTATTTTACACTATTTCATTTATTTATTTAAATAAAAAGGCAAACTAAATCATTTTTAGTAATGTGACTTGATGCACATCCATATTTCATATTGACTAATGTCTTGTAGGCTACCTACCGGTAAACATGTTAGATGATCACATGGATGAATAATCGTATGCAAATGATATGCAGATGAGGATATGCATAGTAAAACTAGCAATTGTATGCTCCTTATAGGGTTATTTCGGGGAGGAGACGCATTTGCACACAATCTTCTGCTGACTCTGGCTGACTGGGATTTATAAAGTGAATGTTGCGCAGGTTCTGGCGTAGGCACGGTTTTATAAGTCTGAATATTTTTTTTGCGCATGCCATTTTTGGCTTTTGGGTGCACATACACTTTTAGTAAGGATCCTACGTGCAGTTTTATAAATGTGACCCCAGATCCTGCTAAAATATGACACAATAATCTGAGTGTAAGAAAGTGATATACAGGTTGAGACGATATAGGTTTTGTGTTGTGACAAGATGTTTTTTTCCCCCTAATGATTTTTATTCTATTTTATTACCAGCACAAGGTAGCGTGGTAGCACAAGAGAGTATTTCAACTGTTAAAGGGTTAGTTCACCCAAAAATGAAAATTAAGTCATTAATTACTCACCCCCATGCTGTACCAACCCCGTAAGACCTTCGTTCATCTTCGGAACACAAATGAAGATATTTTTGATTAAATTTGAGAGCTGTATAACTACCACATTGGCTCCTAAAGGACTGCCTCTTGACGGCCCAGAAAGTCAATGAAGAAAATGTTTAAATATCCCAAGTGACTACCGTGGCTCAACTATATGTTTATCAAGCGACGCGAATACTTTTTGTGCGAAAAAACAAACAAAAATAACGAGTTTATTCGACTATTTCTTTTCTTCCTTGTAGGCCAGAACGAGACTTCCTTAGATTTCCACGACGCATGCGCGAGATTTGCGATCTGCTCACATCAGCTTACACCACTTCAGATCGCAATTCTCGCGCATGCGTCGTGGAAATCTAAGGAAGTCTCGTTCTGGCCTACAAGGAAGAAAAGAAATAGTCGAATAAACTCGTTATTTTTGTTTGTTTTTTCGCACAAAAAGTATTCGCGTCGCTTGATAAACATATAGTTGAGCCACGGTAGTCACTTGGGATATTTAAACATTTTCTTCATTGACTTTCTGGGCCGTCAAGAGGCAGTCCTTTAGGAGCCAATGTGGTAGTTATACAGCTCTCAAATTTAATCAAAAATATCTTCATTTGTGTTCCGAAGATGAACGAAGGTCTTACGGGGTTGGTACAGCATGGGGGTGAGTAATTAATGACTTAATTTTCATTTTTGGGTGAACTAACCCTTTAACTCTATCGAAGACAATGAAGAACCATCTTCCAGATCAGCCTTCAGAGATCCTCCTGATGACGTAACAACTGAACTACATGGCAATGCTGAGTATGATCCATCTCAATTATTTGAGGAAGCTCTCCCTGATGTGGGGGATTGGACGTATGATGATGGACATTTGTTCAATGAGGGATTTGATGAGGGTTTGAGTGAGGACTGTGCAGAAGAGTCAATTTTCAAGGACACAACACACAAACCATTATATAACAATGCATCAATAACTGTTGCAGAGAGCCTTCTGATCATCATGGCTTATGTAAACTGTCATAAAGTAACTGATAAGGCCCTTAGTGATTTGCTTAAAATGCTTAAGTTGGTTTGTCCTGATAGTCTGAATGCAGACTGCTTAAACAGTGTACAGAAGTTGAAAGACTTTTTTTTCTCACATGCCACATCATCTCCTATTGTATTGCATAAATATTGCAGTACTTGTTTTGGGTCATTAGAAGGTGAACAATTACAATGTCTATCTTGTGGGACCAGTGTGTCAGAAGAAAGCTCATCATCCTTCATAGAGGTTCCAATTGATGCTCAAATAAGGTCAATGTTTCTCAAGCCAGGTTTTCAGGAGAAACTTAACTTTAGATTTAGCAGGAAGAAGACAAATCCTAACAACATTGAAGATATATATGATGCAGAAATGTACAAACAGCTTGTAGATGGGGGTGGTCCTCTTAGTGACCCTAAAAACATCTCACTTACTTGGAACACAGATGGGGTACCTATTTTCAAATCGTCCAAGTTTTCAGTGTGGCCTTTTTATTGCATCATCAATGAACTGAGTTTCATGGAACGCACAAAAAGAGAGAATATGATATTTGCTGGACTTTGGTATGGGGACTCAAAACCATCCATGGTTACATTCCTTAGACCACTAGGTGACACACTGAGTAAACTTGCGGATGATGGAATTCTTGTGCAACCTGCAGAGTTGACATCTGAACCTTTTGTATGTAAAGTGCTCACCATTGCTGGAACATGCGACTTGCCTGCTAAAGCATTAGTTCTTAATTCAGTGCAATACAATGGGAAATTTGGATGTCATAAATGTGAGCAGCCAGGAGAGACTGTAAAGACAGGGGAAAGGGGACATGTTCATGCATTCCCATACCAACATGGAGATCCAAAAGGCCCACTGCGCACAAATGAAAAGTTTGCTCTTGATATGAAAATCTCAAGTGAGACCAAAACCCCCGTTAAAGGGGTGAAGGGTCCCTGTTGGCTTAGCAAACTTAAATGTTATAACCTTATCAAAGGCACTGCCATAGATTACATGCACTCAGTCCTTCTAGGAGTAATGCGCCTTCTGATGGTTCTGTGGTTTTCTCCAGAGTTTTCTCGTCAGCCCTTCAGCATGGCAAAAAATGCAAAGGAAATTGACAGGCGATTTCAGGATATCTCTCCTCCATCCTCCACTCGATATCCTCGATCAGTGACATCTCACAGAATGTTTTTTAAAGCATCAGAATATCGGAATATTTTGATATAATATGGACCTGTTGTTTTCCGTGGAATTCTCGCAACACTGTACTACCAGCACTTCCTTCTACTAAGTGAAGCCATTTTCATTTTGTTGATGGAATCCATATCAGTTGAACAGATTGATCATGCAGAGAAACTACTGTGGAACTTTTGTTCCCAAATGGCTAATCTATATGGTGAGCGGTACGAAACTGCAAATGTAAACCTTCTTGTGCACCTAGCAGACAGTGTGAAGGCCCTTGGTCCATTATGGACTCATTCGTGTTTCCATTTTGAGGACAAGAATGGCTATTTGTTAAGGCTCATACATGGCACTCAAAATATACCTATGCAGATGGTCCATGCAGTCAAACTTGTGCAGTCTATTCCTGTTATTTCACAAACCATAAAACCAGGGAATGCCATAGCTGAATTTTACACACGGATGACTAAAGATGATAGTTTCTGTCAGGAAAACAATGATTTGTCTAGGACCAAACTATATGGAGCATCTAGTGAACTTCAACTGGACACAGTTCAACTCTCTACATTGGAAAGACATACTGGTCATTGCATCAGATCTAAAACAGTAAGGATCTTTCACAGGGCACAAGTTAAGAGAAATTATCTCACATCAAAACACTATGGAAAAAGGCAATAGAAGAAACAATTTTACAGTCGTTTTTTTCTAGTGATGGACAAAGAAAGTATGGACAGATTGAGTTCTTCTTTACCTCAGAACATTCAGATGCCAAATGGGCCCTTGTTCATGAATTCAAAGATGCTGTTTTTTCTTTGCTGCATGATAGTGTAACAAATGGTACATGCAGTCATGTTGTCCCCCTATTGGAAACCTCTGTTAATACAGTCGTTTCCTTGGATCATATATTGGGTAAAGTTGTTTTCTTTGACTTGACATCTATGCCTGGCATTGTTTTTGCAGCTAATTTCCCCAACACACTTGAAAAGTTTTAACCCCTTAATGTTGGGTTTATACTGGATGCAACAGTGGGTCATGGTCAGAGTGTGTGGTGGCAAGATGAACTGCCTCTATTGTATTATCAGGGTGCTTGAATGAATTGAATTAAAACAGCATGTGCTCTATTATGTGTTACACACTCTTTTACTGCTCTATACAATAAAGCTTCGCTGTGAATTCTGTCAGCACAATGTCAACATTTAGAAAGTTCACAAAGGTGTCTTTTGAGCATATTATGGCTTATGTTTTGATGGGTTACGTTTTGGAACTCAAAATTGTAATTAATGAATTGCTTGTGTCAGAAATCAACACATTTTGTACATTGAACATTAGTAAACCATCTCAAATTATTTGCCTGAATTGACTTCTTTTCTTAAATTTTGCGCTGAGATAAACTGAGATATGATTGAGCTATAATATTAAATAATGTCTCATACTGAGACTAATTTGAGAGCTTGCATTACTCTATTTTTTCTTTTTGCTGAAAGAGACAACGTTAAGAGAATCCCGAGAACTCAAATAGTGAGCAGTACGAGACATATTTCTCACTGAGATATAACTGAGATCAAATTGAGACATATTTGATAGCGCCACAGTATGTCTCATTTTTCTCTTAGTTGAGATCTGGAAAAGAGACAGCTGTGAGAGAATTTAGAGAACTTGCACTGTGCTCAATGTGAGACTTAATTCTCAGGAGAGACATTTGAGAAGAATGAGAAAACCACTTTGGTCTCAATTAGTGCTCATTTATATCTAGGAGATGTAAATGTGACATAAAGGAGATCTCATCTTCAATTTTGCTTTGCTATTCCGACTTTAAAACAAGAGGCAGCAGTGTTGGGCCACAATCTGTAAGTAGGCTAAGACTTCATCATTTTAAATGTATTTGCATGTAATTCCAGACGTAACGTTAGCCTTGTGTTTTATTTTATTTTTTTCAAATGCCAGCGCTGGCTTTTTAGCCACTACTAGTTAGCCTATGCTATTTTGTGTCCACGACAAACTCGTACAAACATTATGGATCTTAATTTTCTATAAGTACTAATGTTTTAAACGTATTTTTCATGTATATATGCTTTATGACGTTATTTTCGATTTGATCAAGAACGTAAACATGCCAACGCTGTTTGAGTATGACATTAGTAGCCAGTCAGTTGCTATTGTTGCCAGTCAGATGCTATTGTGTAAAACAAACGTGTATAAAGTTAAAAAAATGTAGCAAATTATCATTCAGAAAGGTTTAGTAAGAGCCGTGTGTGGTGAGGTTCTGCTTGATTCTCTTCAACGCTGCTTTCTCGGCCTGATTCTGCCTCAAACTGATACTGCAGTATCGACACCATTATTTACATGATTAGACCGGTAAAGGTAATGGGTGTCAACCTTCCGGACAACGTTTGCGACAGTTTAGCCAATCACAACACACCGGCCCAAACTAACCAATCTACGACTACGTGTTTCTGAGGGAGTGTTTCCATAGAATCAGGAAGTCAACCGTTCGTTCAGGGGACAGAGGAGAGCGCGGCTGACAATAAAGCTGAAGTTTATGAAAAATAAGACTTTTAAAAAAATAAAAACCACGAATACATGTTATATTGCACCCCATAAATACAATTATGCAAAGAAAAAAAGCAGTCAACCCCCCCTTTAAATGTCCCCAACTAAGAAGCCAAAAGCAAGGAACCAAAACTCCATCAGGTGATTGGATGGAGAAAAAAACCTTGGGAGAACCCAGGCTCAGTTGGGGCCAGTTCTCCTCTGGCCAACAGACATATTGTTTTAAAGCAGCTTTACAAAAAGTGCATTTCAGAAAAGTACATGGAAAAAATACATTTAGTTAAACATTTAATTTTAAGGGCATAACATATCGTCGGCGCTTAGTCGTCTCTTCACAGGCGCTGAGTCGTCTCTTCACAGGCGTTGGGGCATCTGAAGTCTCCGTGAGAGGCTGGATACAAAACTGGGGCTAACGAACGCAATTTTTCATTTATCATCCCGAGATAACAGCAGAAAGGCAGATGGAAAATAATTAGCATAGCTGATGTTCATAATGATTTCCATTACACAAGAGTAGATGTTAAAAAACCACAATCTCACAAACTCTCCGCAACCCAACTATACACGCCGACCCGTTTGACTAAGGCTGTCAAGCCCCACTGTCGCGGAAATGCATTTCAGTGGCAACGGTTCCGTATGGCATACCACCTACCGCAAAAACACAATATCAGCCCAACCACCCGTCATCCACACAATACACACAGGAAAGTAATGACTGTAAATACTATGCAACCTATACAAATAACCTACAGACGTTTCAAGTTTAATAGTATTAATGCATTTGATCTGATTCAACAGAGGAATAAAAGTTTAAGCATTATATGAATGCTTGACTAAAGAGATGCATCTTTAATCTAGTTTTAAACTGTGACAGTGAGTCAGAGCCTCGGACCGTATCGGAAAGGCTATTCCAGAGTTTTGGAGCTAAATGCAAGAACGCCCTCCCTCCTTTAGTGGACTTAGATATCCTAGAAATGACCAGAAGCCTCGAATTTAGTGATCTTAAAGAACGCGGTGGATTGTAGGGCGAAAAAAGGTCCATTAAATACACAGGAGCTAAACCATTTAGGGCTTTATAGGTCAATAGTAGTACTTTGTAATTGATACGGAACTTAATAGGTAACCAGTGTAGAGATGATAAAATTGGTGTTATATGATCATATTTTCTTGACCTAGTAAGAACTCTAGCAGCTGCATTTTGTACTAACTGTAGCTTGTTTATTGAGGATGCAGGATAACCGGCTAATAAAGCATTACAGTAATCTAGTCTCGAGGTCATAAATGCTTGAACTAACTTTTCTGCATCAGAAACAGATAGCATGTTACGTAGCTTTCTAAGGTGGAAAAAGGTTGTTTTTGTAACATATGAAATATGATTTTCGAAAGACAAGTTGCGGTCTAGTATAACACCCAGGTCTTTTACTGTAGTGGATAAAGTAACAGGAAATCCGTCTATATTAAAGTTGTAATGATGTGAATATTTTCTAGAAATAAAAATTCCAGTTACAGCATATTCATTTTTCATCGATTCTTGCACCAAATAACACAACAAGATGACATTTAATAATAATAAAAGTAATTTAAGCTCCAGCTAGTGCCGTGACGTAACTATGACGTCGGCGCAAAAGGGGTCTATAGAGTTAATTTCAACACTTTAAAAGTGTTTATTTGGGAAGCACCCACAAAGTGTTAATTCAACACTTTCCAAAGTGTTGCCTCTCTCAACACCGACAGTGTTACAATACGAACACTAAGAGAGTGGAATATTAACACCAATGCAAATAACAACACTGCCAGTGTTTACTTCTTCAACATTATAGTAGTCAAATATTACACCATCCTGGTGTTGATAGAACACATTTTTACAAATAATATTATAATATAAATATATAATATATATATATATAATATAATAATATTTGTCAGTTTATTTTACAGTTCTACTTACCCCTGATAGAAAGTGTATCCCCGGTCGCGGGAGCGCGCTCGCATTCAGCAGGAGGTGCGTCATTGCTGTTTTTTTTTAATCGACGAGGTTTAGCAAAGACAGATATCACGTGGCCCATCACAAACAAATTATTTTATTCTTCTGTGGGCAAACGATCGAGCTTCATGCACGGAATGGAAAAATTCTCACGAGAATGTCTAAAGTTACTGAAAAACTAAGACGACCATATCATTCAAACAGCCTGTGGATATAAAATTGTTCTAACAGAAGTGAATATGAACACATTTCTTTTTTCCTGACAAAAGTTATAGTGGGATACAGATTTTTTCAGACCGTATTTTCGACCTGCCAAAATATGTATCCCCCCCTAAAATCTACTGATGATGGCCTATCATTAAGTGTTTTATTTTGTGAATACTGTACATCATGTCTAATAACAGAAGTGAATATGAACACATTTCTTTTTTCCTGACAAAAGTTACAGTTGGGATACAGATTTTTTCAGACCGTATTTTCGACCTGCCAAAATATGTATCCCCCTCCTAAAATCTACAGATGATGGCCTATCATTAAGTGTTTTATTTTGTGAATACTGTACATAATAACAGCAGTGAATATGGACACATTTCTTGTTTCCTGACAAAAGTTTACTATAACTTAATGATAGGCCATCATCTGTAGATTTTAGGGGGGGGGGGGGGGGATGGGATACATATTTTGGCAGGTCGAAAATACGGTCTGAAAAAATCTGTATCCCACTATAACTTTTGTGAGGAAAAAAGAAATGTGTTCATATTCACTTCTGTTATTAGACATGATGTACAGTATTCACAAAATAAAACACTTATTAATAGGCCATCATCTGTAGATTTTAGGGGGGGATACATATTTTGGCAGGTCGAAAATACGGTCTGAAAAAATCTGTATCCCACTGTAACTTTTGTCAGGAAACAAGAAATGTGTTCATATTCACTGCTGTTATTAGACATGATGTACAGTATTTACAAAATAAAACACTTAATGATAGGCCATCATCTGTAGATTTTAGGGGGGGGGGGATACATATTTTGGCAGATCGAAAATATGGTCTGAAAAAATCTGTATCCCACTGTAACTTTTGTCAGGAAACAAGAAATGTGTTCATATTCACTGCTGTTATTAGACATGATGTACAGTATTCACAAAATAAAACACTTAATGATAGGCCATCATCTGTAGATTTTAGGGGGGGGGGATACATATTTTGGCAGATCGAAAATATGGTCTGAAAAAATCTGTATCCCACTGTAACTTTTGTCAGGAAACAAGAAATGTGTTCATATTCACTGCTGTTATTAGACATGATGTACAGTATTCACAAAATAAAACACTTAATGATAGGCCATCATCTGTAGATTTTAGGGGGGGATACATATTTTGGCAGGTCGAAAATACGGACTGAAAAAATCTGTATCCCACTGTAACTTTTGTCAGGAAAAAAGAAATGTGTCCATATTCACTTCTGTTATTAGACATGATGTACAGTATTGACAAAATAAAACACTTAATGATAGGCCATCATTTGTAGATTTTAGGGGGGGGGGATACATATTTTGGCAGATCGAAAATACGGTCTGAAAAAATCTGTATCCCACTGTAACTTTTGTGAGGAAAAAAGAAATGTGTCCATATTCACTTCTGTTATTAGACATGATGTACAGTATTGACAAAATAAAACACTTAATGATAGGCCATCATTTGTAGATTTTAGGGGGGGGATACATATTTTGGCAGATCGAAAATACGGTCTGAAAAAATCTGTATCCCACTGTAACTTTTGTGAGGAAAAAAGAAATGTGTCCATATTCACTTCTGTTATTAGACATGATGTACAGTATTTACAAAATAAAACACTTAATGATAGGCCATGATCAGTAGATTTTAGGGGGGGATACATATTTTGGCAGGTCGAAAATACGGACTGAAAAAATCTGTATCCCACTGTAACTTTTTTGAGGAAAAAAGAAATGTGTTCATATTCACTTCTGTTATTAGACATGATGTACAGTATTGACAAAATAAAACACTTAATGATAGGCCATCATTTGTAGATTTTAGGGGGGGGATACATATTTTGGCAGATCGAAAATACGGTCTGAAAAAATCTGTATCCCACTGTAACTTTTGTGAGGAAAAAAGAAATGTGTCCATATTCACTTCTGTTATTAGACATGATGTACAGTATTTACAAAATAAAACACTTAATGATAGGCCATGATCAGTAGATTTTAGGGGGGGATACATATTTTGGCAGGTCGAAAATACGGACTGAAAAAATCTGTATCCCACTGTAACTTTTTTGAGGAAAAAAGAAATGTGTTCATATTCACTTCTGTTATTAGACATGATGTACAGTATTCACAAAATAAAACACTTAATGATAGGCCATCATCAGTAGATTTTAGGGGGGGATACATATTTTGGCAGGTCGAAAATACGGACTGAAAAAATCTGTATCCCACTATAACTTTTGTCAGGAAAAAAGAAATGTGTCCATATTCACTTCTGTTATTAGACATGATGTACAGTATTCACAAAATAAAACACTTAATGATAGGCCATCATCAGTAGATTTTAGGGGGGGATACATATTTTGGCAGGTCGAAAATACGGACTGAAAAAATCTGTATCCCACTGTAACTTTTGTGAGGAAAAAAGAAATGTGTTCATATTCACTTCTGTTATTAGACATGATGTACAGTATTCACAAAATAAAACACTTAATGATAGGCCATCATCTGTAGATTTTAGGGGGGGGGGGGATACATATTTTGGCAGGTCGAAAATACGGACTGAAAAAATCTGTATCCACTATAACTTTTGTCAGGAAAAAAGAAATGTGTCCATATTCACTTCTGTTATTAGACATGATGTACAGTATTCACAAAATTAAAAACACTTAATGATAGGCCATCATCTGTAGATTTTAGGGGGGGGGGATAGATATTTTGGCAGGTCGAAAATACGGTCTGAAAAAATCTGTATCCCACTATAACTTTTGTCAGGAAAAAAGAAATGTGTTCATATTCACTTCTGTTAGAACAATTTTATATCCACAGGCTGTTTGAACGATATGGTCGTCTTAGTTTTTCAGTAACTTTAGACATTCTCGTGAGAATTTTTCCATTCCGTGCATGAAGCTCGATCGTTTGCCCACAGAAGAATAAAATAATTTGTTTGTGATGGGCCACGTGATATCTGTCTTTGCTAAACCTCGTCGATTAAAAAAAAACAACAACAGTAAAACGATAACTTAAACAATTCACTTGTTATAGTTTAATTCACCTTGGACAAAGCAATGACGCACCTCCTGCTGAATGCGAGCGCGCTCCCGCGACCGGGGATACGCTTTCTATCAGGGGTAAGTACCTTGGCACGACACCTGCGCCTCAGTTGCCCTCCATGGGGATCCAGTATTTTCAACAATTGCCTGATTGTCTCTTGTGTCACCACGTAGCCAGCCTGAATGCATTTCAGATGCATCATCTTGTATCCGTGAAGCATACCATATCGGTTCAGCTGATCCTGGAGAAACACAGCAATGTCCAGCAGATCCGAATGTTCTTTTCGTCTGAACAGGCGCAAAGTCTTGAGGTGTCTGCGCAAAGTTGACGTACTAATAACAATGCCAGACAGCAGTATCTCCCAATGCCTCAAACCCAAAGTAAAATAAAATCGGATTAAACTAGAAAGGTGCGTAGTCGAAGGCATGTTTCCTCCATGCAATCCTAAAATAGAGATCCTGGCAGGATTTTGAAGGAGTTCATTAATTCAGAAAAACAGAGCAAAAACTTTTTTTCCGTGAAAAATTAACTCGTTAATTCAGAAAAACAGAGCAAAAACTTTTTTTTTCTCATGAAATATTAACTCGTTAATTCAGAAAAACAGAGCAAAAACTTTTTTTCTCGTGAAAAATTAACTCGTTCAGAAAAACAGAGCAAAAACTTTTTTTTCTCATGAAAAATTAACTCGTTAATTCAGAAAAACAGAGCAAAACTTTTTTTCTCATGAAAAATTAACTCGTTAATTCAGAAAAACAGAGCAATTACTTTTTTTCTCATGAAAAATTAACTCGTTCAGAAAAACAGAGCAGAAACTTTTTTTTTCTTCAAGTGAATGCAATACGCCTCCGTATGTCCCTGCTTGACAACAACTGATAAACATAATCGGTTTTAATGAGGGGAAAAAATAACTGTGCGAGTATGGATTAGGACTCAGAAACTATGGGCTATGTGCACCACTGTAGTTTCGAACTTCCGCTTTTGTCAGAAGTCGGCGTATCAGTTTCCGGTCTACGACTGGTCATCCGTATCCACTAATAAACAAACAAGATGAGTGCTGCTGTTGTGCGAAAAAAAAAGAGTTCTTAAACACATCTAAGTTTCTAAGAACTGTAGGTGGATCACCATGTAAACAGGTTAGGGCTTTCACTTTTCACTGATGTGGTATATAACAGCAGCACAGCGATCGTTTCCACACCGAATCTATTTCTGCTGTGCTGCAAACGCTGGTGGTCAAAATGATAAAGATTGACCTGAAAATGTTAGTAGTTTCACCATAAATGCGTTTAATTAAATAACATGTAGTAATCTCACCATAAATGCACATTTAATCAAGGAAAACTACAATTTACTTCAACCAGGCGACAGAATGAACTCGTCTCGATCGTGGAGGTGGAAAAATAAGTTTTGTGACACGCAAGATCTATTGTTTTAAAATTAAAATGCAAAAGAAAAGGCAAGTCGGCTGCTTTTGTCAATTTCAAGTTTTAATTTAAATTATTTGCGATTTTAATATAGGAAATATTTGACCACTTGCTTGAGCAACTTGTAATGCATGGAGTAGCTAATAGCCCTAACTTACATTGTTTAGATTGTGTTTAAACGTGCATACAAAGAATCGCAATGCTGACACATCTTTTTGTTTTTAAAAATAAGTTGCAGCTTAACTTCTGGATTTTAAATAAAAACATTAAGTATGTGTACTTTGTTGTACAGCCGCGGATCAGTTATTCACTGACTGTGCAAACGCATCATAATATGTGAACGCACTAACAGCACGCTCCTGCACCGCAACACACACTGCAAACGGGTGTGAAACGGACGTTAGATCCACTACAGTTCTTAGAAACTTAGATGTGTTTAAGAACTCTTTTTTTCGTACAACAGCAGCACTCATCTTGTTTGTTTATTAGTGGATGCGGATGGCCAGTCGTAGACCGTAAACTGATACGCCGACTTCTGACAAAAGCGGAAGTTCGAAACTACAGTTGTGCACATAGCCTAAACTCTTGTACGTTAGTCTAATGTTCTACCACTAGACCATTACATTACTATTACAGCACATACAGGCGAATTTGGGGGAATGCAAGGTCTCGAGGTGCATTTTTGTTGAACTTATTTTAACTTGAGTGCCGCGTTTTGAGAATTGAGCACACTACAGTTGCGTGCGCGTTCACAGCAGAAAAAAAAAGTTATTTAAAGTCACGTCATATTAAATTTCAATGTCGTGAAACAGCTGTCGCCAGGGGGTGTCGCCAGCACCCTCAGCATCCCTAGTTCCCACGGCCATGCACAGAGTGCAAAACAGAGCATCGCCATTTGGGCTCAATGGCGGGTACAGTTAGAGACATGCAAGATCTGAGGACTGTTTTATCTCTGAAAAAGCTTGGACAAAGAAGAAGCCCTGACACCGAGGCGATCAGGCTTCTAAGAGTGGTCCCCTCTGGGGTAGGGACGGTTTTAAGAAATCGTTTCTCCTCTGTGCCCTCTCTGGTGCGACTCTCTGAGGAGGGTCGCAGCGCTGCCAGTTCGGTTTCCCTGCCGGTTCGCCGTTTCAGGGCACCAAGGTGTCAGTGTCCCAAAACAGTGCCAAGGTGCCTGCTTTGTCCAACGATCATTCGAGGAGGGATTTAGACACTAAGCCTATGTGCCTCGGTCATGTGGAAGAACCTTGGATCCTCCCCAGTTGGGGGCTTTTTGTCAATGCATAGTGCTATCGATGGATGCTTCCCTCACAATTTGGGGGTGATCATGAGTGGTCGCTCTGCGAATGGCGGACAACACACTGATGGTCTGGTCTCATATATCAGAGCAAATATCCTGTTGAGGCAGAGGCTGAGGCCCAGGAATTGGAGACTTCACCCCGAGTCTCTTAGGGAGAACTTTGGTCAAACTAAAGTCAAGTCGACCTTTTACATCGTTTGTACAACACATTGCTCTATTTGGTTCTCCCTCACGCATCCAGCTCTGCATGGACTGGATGTGATGAGTTAGGTGTGGTTGACGATACACGAGTACGCATTTCCCGATATCTTTGCTACCGATTGAGACCATTCTCCAATCCAGAGCTCCTTCCATGAGAAAACTATGTATTGAAATGGAAATTATTCTCCACCTGGTGTGGTGAATGTCACCGAGATCCTGTTAACTGCCCTGTTGGTACAGTTCTTGATTTCTTGCAAGACCGTTTCTCTGCTGGATTATCTCCTTCTACCTTAAAGGTGTATGTGGCGATTGCATCGGCCATCCATACCCCTCTGGGGATCTCCTAATTACTCGTTTTCTCCATGGTACATTGAGGTTGAGACCTGCACTGCACTCTAGAGCACCGGCTTGGGATTTGACCATTGTACTTGAGGGTCTGGCATTGGCTCCCTTCGAGCCCATTGAAGGGGTTTCAGAAAAAAAAGGGGTTTCCTTACCTTGAAAACTTTATTTCTCCTTGCTATTTCTTCTATCAAGAGAATTGGGGATTTGCATGCCCTGTTGGTTGCTACTTCATGCCTGGAATTTGCACATGGTATGGTGAAAGCATTTCTTTCCCCAAAACCGGTTATATTTCTAAGGTCCCAGCTAATGTTGGGGGCCCAATGTTGCAGGCCTTTTATCCTCCACCTTTTAATAGCCCAGATCAGGAACAACTAAACCTGTCCAGTTCAGGCATTGGATGCCTACGTTCACAGAGCTGCCAGGTGGCATAAGTCTGAGCAGTTCTTTGTCTAATTTGGGTCACTCAAGAGTAGGGATGGGTATCGTTAAGGTTTTATCGGTATTACTACTCTTACCGATACCGCTTATCGATCCGGTACTTTAACGGTATTCTTATCGGTTCTTTTTGGTGTTTTTTTTATTATTTATTTATTTATTTATTTTAAGAGTTAAGAACATAATTAAACTTTATATTTTGAAATGTAAAATAGAAAAAGCAAAACGAAGAAAAATATATTTTTGTTATGCAGCAGTGTGCAGGCTTTTTTTGTTTATACAAGTACAAACACAAGAATACAATTAATCAAAGATACAAATTATATACAAAGTGCTTTAATTTCAGGAAGGTCTACTAACATATCTTTTCAGGTAATTGTTTCTGTCTGAAAAGAAACCTAGTAATCAAATATAAAATAGCACTGTATAGTTTATGTCACGGGTGACAAAATCGCTCAGTAAACGGAACCTTCTTGATAGTCCTGAGTTTCCTGAGGGAACATATTGGGTGCAACACTCCACTACAGTTCCGGGTGTGATGGAAACATGCCCGTACTGATTAGCGCTAATGCATTGCAGGTGTGAGAGAGAGAGGAGCGGCACTCACACAGACTCCCTGTTTCATAAGCCACAATATAAAAGGAGCATTTAGAGAGTGTTTGCAGCGCGGTTGGTGGGTGTACAGTGTGTCAAGATCCCAAAGGGTTGACTCTGGGCAGTGCTGGATACAGGCTTCCTTGGAAAAATCGTTGGAGTGTGGAGATCGCCCATTCGAGTTTGCTGGGTCAGATTGATCGTTTGTGGGAAGACTGCTGGGCGAGCTAGGGCTGGATCTGTGCTGTGGAAGGAGAGAGGAAAGATAAGTGAATTGTTTTCATCTTATGAACATTTGAACCACTTGAAGAGGATACAGTGAATGTGGATCTGACTGTTGGAGGAGCTATGTGTTTCAGAGTGTGATGAGGAGGAATTAAAAGTGAAAACCCTGTAAACGAGCGCAACGGCCGGAGTGGGGCCTCTGTCCAACCCTATCGTGTGAGTGAATTGCAGTGCTTTTGCCTTATTGATACACATTGATTTATTGCTGTGGAATTGAAGTGAACACAAGTGTGCTGTGTCTTTGTTGAGAAGTGGCCCCCATCCATGCTTACACGTTCGTGGAAGGTTATTATATCTGCCCCCGTCAGAAGCCCAGAGTGATACAGTGAACTGAAGAGAGAGTACTGTGTACTGTGACTATCCTCACCTGTTCTACTTACTGTTTGAGCCCAGAAGTATACAGCAACGCTGATAAAGTAATCGTTTAACCCACTGTCTCCCTATTGTGAACTGAAGAGAGAGTACTGTGTACTGTGAAGATCCACACCTGTTCTACTTGCTGTTTGAGCCCAGAAGCATACAGCCCCACTGGTAAAGTAACCTTATGACTCACTGTCTCCCTATTGTGAACTGAAGAGAGAGTACTGTGTACTGTGACTATCCTCACCTGTTCTACTTACTGTTTGAGCCCAGAAGTATACAGCAACGCTGATAAAGTAATCGTTTAACCCACTGTCGCCCTACTGTGAACTGAGGAGAGAGTACTTTGTACTGTGAAGATCCACACCTGTTCTACTTGCTGTTTGA